TATTGCTGCTTAGATGATAATTCTGGTCACCACTGAACTATTCCTTCTAGCAGAACTCCCAAGAGTACTTTATTTCTTGTAGTATTAAACAAGCAGGAGCCAAGTGAATTTTAAATCTGTAGGGTGTCAAAAATGAGAAACTAGATGAAGTTTTGGATGCAGATGCAAGGGAAAATAGTCACACATTTTAAAAATTTGAGAGCGTTACATTCTCATATACACATGATTTGTCCTAGAGCAGTAGCTAGGCATATAAAAGGATCTTTACAAGTTAGATTTGAGACATGATAAAATGTAGGAGATATTATTCAAGTTAGGTTTAAGATTTTGATTGTTGACAGAGCACAGGAGTTGAGGACCAGTCTTTTTTGTTTTTTTTTATTTGAGATTTTTACAAGGCTAAGACCCACGTTCTCAGAAATAGGCTTTCTTGTCAGTTTTCATTCTCTTTCCATTCTACTGTACAAATGTTTTCACTCTTCATGGAAAATTTAGTTTGATCACATTAGTGTTCTACTGTTCTCTAATCATAAGTAGAGTTGGCTGCTTTACAGTTTGGTGAAATTCCAACAATTATATTCCGTAAATTGTGCGTGTTAGTGGAAAGCCAAAAGCAAAGCAGCTCAGGGCAATGAAAAGCATAACAAACTGGGAATTTATACCACTTCTAGCTAGCAAAGCAGAATTTGCTCTCAGGTTTGTTTCACAGGAAAAAAAAAAAAAAGAGTAAAATAGCACATTTGGCTGATGGTAAAATGATTTTTACCATTTTCGGAAGACAAAGACCCTTCACTTTGTTACCGAAAACTGGCAGATCAACTGAAGACTAATTCCATTTTGAAATAAATATTTTGCATCACAGTGAAACCATGCTGCTAATATTAGCCAAGCTGGCAAATAAACAGGAACTCCTTGTTTCATTGTTTTTACTTTTGTATTCCATCAATGGATTGTAAAGTACTGGAAATGAGCCAAAATCAAGGACTAATTTCCATTTAGTGGTATAATGAAGTAACAAACATGCTTTGATTCAGATTAAAAGCTTTTTCCCCTCCAAACTAAAAGCACTTCTATATCTGTCTGTAGCTTCAATGTTTTCACAAAAATAGCTGGTAGCTGCAATATTGTGTTAAAACAAAACAAATGAACAAATGCCAAAAAGATAAATTTAGCACTCACTGCTTCCTGAAGCAGCCAATCTTTAGTGCTCAGAATCTTCAGAATGCATAGCTAAGCAAAACGAAATCCTCCATTCAGATCAGACACAAATCTTGGCCTTGATTTGTTCCACCACCAAGTTTAAACCAATATAAATAAGGGCAGTTTCTGCAATCTCTATCCTCATCTCTACTGTTCCCTTTACTACTCATGCACAACTACTTGCACTGTTTGCTGCACGGTATTACATGGTACCTATCCAGTAGTCAAATTAACACTGTGTTCAATGTGGAAAGTGCAAAGTAGGTAGAAGAAGCTTTTCTCCTTAAGTCTTCTCCTTAGTCCCTTAACACAACTGGATGTTGTGTTGAGGGACATGGTTTAGTAGGAGCTATTGGGAATAGGTGAGCGGTTGGACTGGGTGATCTTTTAGGTCTTTTCCAACCTTGGTGATTCTATGATTCTATGATTAAAAGCAGTGGGCTAAATCCTGCACCCGGTGACCTCGCGTGAGCAGTGTTCATACGGTGTCCCCAAGAATAACTCAGTTATGTCTTTGATCAGGACCAAAGAGTGAATTAATTGGAAGAATGAAATAAGTCTTGGTAAGACTCGAGGATCAGTTAATATTTATGTAATACTATATCTGAGGCTATTATAAGTTGCAGATTTTAACACCTAAGTTTCAAATTTTAAGAAAAGAATCCTTGAAAGTGTTTAAAATCTTCACAAATTAAAGCATCTAATCCTGGAGCTTTCAAATTCATAGTGGCTTCTTTAATCTAATCTTTTTCAACAGCTAATTCTAAAGCAGCAATTAAATTCTTAGATCAACTTCAGTCCTCAGCTAAATGCCAGAACTGCTTACAAACAACTCATCCTTATAGTGCTATATGAAAGATTCACATTGAGTATTACGACAGTGTTCTGAGAATTGTTTTTGTTTGTTTGATCATTGTTTATATCTATCTTTATATTTATCTTTATATATCAATCTTTATATATATATATATATATATATATGTATAGATGTAATGTGTATTCATCAGTTATGTTTGTATCCCTATACAACTTCATTGGGCTTCTGGAAAAGCTAGATACTTGCTCTTAGCCGTACTTAAGCCTCCAGAGTTCACTGCAGACATGGATTAATGATTTATCTATGAGCTCTAAACTACCTTAAAGGGTAATTTTCTTCTATTCTTTCCCAGTAGTAAACTTCGAATGATTTTACTTTTGCAGAATGGAAAATAATATTGAGAATCTGTGAAAGTTTCCTGAAACATAAGATTTTTTGCTCTTAATTCTAACTAAACCGGAAGAAACTGAAGGATTTCTAAACACTGATGAAGATATGGGATAGGGGAATCAACTTTTTGAAAGGGTAGGTAACTGTAGGACAAGGGGAAATGGTTTGAAGTTGAGGGAGGAAAGATTTAGGTTGAATGTCAGAGGGAAATTCTTTACTATGAGAGTGGGTGAGGTGCTGGAACAGCTGCCCAGAGAGGCTGTGGATGCCCCGTCCATCCCTGGAGGTGTTCAAGGCCAGGTTGGATGGGGCCCTGGGCAGTCTGGGCTGGTATTAAATGTGGTGGTTGGTGGCCCTGCCTGTGGCAGGGGGTTGGAGATTCATCTTCCTTGAGGTCCCTTCCAACCCTGGCCATTCTGTGATTCTGTGATATGCTGGAGGTGATCCAATGTAGAAATCCAGAAGAACTCAACTGTTATGCAAGAAAAAAAGCGAATAAAGCAGAGATAAGCACTGACAATTTTTAGAAAATGTGGCCAATTTTCTGCCTTAAGATCTTTGAGATAAAGCTGGCACTCACTAGACAGAACAGAAAGCTCATCTGGATGGTAGACAGTTCAAGTACTGAACTGTGGTGTAGAACAGACTAATTTCACTTACATTTACCTGTGAACGACGGAAACTGTAAGAGATAAAGAATACCTATCCAACAGCCTGTTACCTGCTCAAAATTATGTTGATGTCAAAGCATTTTTACTAATGGACTTGCAGGAAAATTGCACCTACTGTACTCAGGTTTTATTTTATTTTGCTAACATAGTCTGTTTAGTCATACTTAGCTTCCTCGGAAGCCGTCTGAACAAATCACCGCTGAAGGGAGTAGGAGTATATGGAGGAGTTCTTGTTATCATCTGTGTTTGTTGATGATGACGGGCAGTTGTGTACACTGGATTAGTTCATGTTGATTTGACAGGTAGCAGTGGGACAGAGTGTGGCTACACGCCATTTTCCCGAGTTTCATTGAGTCATGTTCTTATTTTTTTTCTGTCACTTTTGATGAAATACAAGCAAACTGTACATTAGCTACCTGTGCACCGCCAGTGTATTTGTAATATAAATTTTCTGTAGTACAAGACCTCCTTCTACCAGAGATTGCCAGGGCTTTGTTTGTGTGCATACATGTATCTGAAGAGGAAGAGGATGCACTTATTATCAGGTACTTTTCTTTTAAGAAGTACAAACCTGGCAAGTAATTTATCATACTGCTTGACAGCTATGCCTCTGCAGACCACAGGGTGCACCCAAGCTGAGGTCTTTTCATGTCCTGCTCTGCTCCTCAGATTCTCATCTATTTCTTGAAAGTGCTGTGGGTTTCTGCTCTTAAATGCTAAAGAAAATAAAAATAAAAAAATAAAAATCAAGCAGAAATTAACATTATGTTTTCTCTGTCGCTCTGTATTAGCTTCCTCAGGAGAGCTTGGTCATGGGATCCTGAGATGCACTGACAAATAATGAATGATGATAAATTTATTATTCAAGGTACATCCATTTGGGCTCAGAAGCTGCAGATGATGCCCCTTATCGATCACCACCTTGTTTTGCAATAATAGAGCACTGAAACATGATAAAATTGTGAAATGAGTTCTGTGAATTATACAGCCCAGATTTCCTCATAACCTTCATACTTAAAGGGGTTATCACTTGTATCTGGAGTGCACTGCACTCTGCTTTGAATATTGACGTAACTTTCTGAGGTGATGGGCAATAGAGCTGAGTGGAAAATAGAGATATTTATTCTTAAGAAGAATTGTTTCAGATTGTTTCTCTTTCTCTTTTTTATTAAAAAGTCACAACGTCTTCCAAGGTGATTCCTCATATAGTAACAACTACGGACGTGGAATTTTTCAGCTTACAGGAAATACCTCAGGTGAATTGCAATGCCCTGTGCCCTACACTGCAGGGCCACTGGGCTGTCTGAGAGCATCACGAACCAATTAGCCCAGGAGGTGGACATCTAAAGCAAGATGGCACCAAGGGCTCGCTTTGGATATTTCTCACTAAGACACTGTTCAGCTGACTTGCTTGGAAATAACTGCTAAAGGCTACTCAGTCATGAGCTCTGCAATCCAGTTAATTAATACTTGTCAGAAGAACTTTACCCTGGATGCTTAATGTCAGGTTATTCTGACCTTTACAATAACACTTGCAGCTTAGATAACTACTTAATAGCACCCTGTCTCCTGACTGCTGACTTTCAGGAATAGGCACAGTGAGCTTCTGATATGCTTTTTTTTTTTGTTCAAGACAGTCACCCTCTGTCCTGCTTTTACTTAAAGTATTTCATGTAGCCACAGTGCAGACGTATATGGCTGTTTTCATGTTGCCCCTGTCCTTTTGCAAATAGTCAATTGTATTTTCCAAGTTCTACTGTGTACTTAAAATTTCACTGTCTTCCTTTAAACAAGTTTTCTGGCTGAAGTGATTTTTCTTGCTCATCGCAATATTTTCCCACTATAGCACATTATATTTCTAATTCAAACTAGTCCACTAAACATGCATTTAATAAGATCTACATTTTCTACTTTGCTCTTAGCTTTTAATACAGGCCATTCTGAGGATGTAGACGTGTGGTTTGGGTTTCAGAGATGACTGTCCACAGAGCTCCCCTCTACCTTTTCTCAGACCGTGATGTTGCACAGTCAGGTAGCAGATAAGCAGAAGAAGCAGCAGCAAAGAGCTCCTTCAGCAACTCACATGTAAAAAAGCTGCCATAAAAATGGGGCTATCAAGCTTACCAGGTTAGTATCTACAACTACTTGGTCATTAAAAATTCTCACGCAGCAATTGATTCTGCTCTGAGATTCACCATTGGTATCTGCACAGGCTTCTATGCAGACTTTCTCTCCGGGCTTCCTTACCTTTCGTTTGTGGTCAGGTTCCATTTTGGGATTAACTATCCGAAATGGAAATGCCTGGGGGGTTTCTGAAAATCTTCAGGCCACTTTTGCAGCACCATTCTGCCACTTCTGCTTGGAGTAGTGGGAGTGGGAAACAGCAGGAGCTCTGTCTTTCCAAACATTCTACAAAACAAGTTGAGCATGAGGCACTTGGTTTCTAGCACAGGGAAGCTGGCAGCTGGCAAGAGGTCTGACGATACTGCCTTAACATTTTGAAATCCCCCCAAACTGGTTACCATGATTTCAGCTCTGTTAAATCAGTTTTACCAGGGGAAACCTCTTCTGTCAGAAGATTTTCCACCTGACCTCATGATCAGAGCAGCAAAAACAGCACAGGTTGCAGTGACCTTTGAAAAAGTCATTGACTAAATGCTCATTTTCCACCTTAGCATATAGAAGATTGAGAGCATGTTTCAAGAGCAGAATGATACCCAAGTGCTTAATTGTCTTTCAATTTTATTTTTCCCTCGAAATGTCCTGAACTGAATGTCTGGTTCTGATGCTGCACACCTGAAATTGTTGTTTGGAAAATTCTCCCACACGCAGCTTGTACAAAGTTGCACTGAATTTTAAAGATTTAGAAATTCTCTCTTTTTGCTTACAGCACTTTGAAATGCATGAATTACAATAGCTTAGAGAAATCATTTTATCCTTATTTAGATGTATGCATTACACTAAAATCACCCTCTTCAAATACTTTCTGATTTTCCCAGAGGCACATCTGACACTGTGCATCAAAAAATGAGGACTTTCTGCAGTGGTATCATAGCTATCTGCCTGCACAACTAACCAAACAATATTTTTTTCCAAATACAGAGATATTTATAAGGATCAGTGCTGTAAAAGCCTGCTTTATTAATAAACAGGTAGAGTTTTAGCTACAAAGAAGTTGTAAGTGTTGACATTTTACAATTTCAGAAGAGATGGTAATTGCTTCTGAAAAAAAAAAAAAGAGCAGAAAATAAGAACATTGTTATCTGAAAGAAAAAATGAGCATTGTGTTTTGCTTTTGCTATAATTTGGAGGCACACATATATGAGGAAAAATTATGAGAAACATATAGCAGAGACATTTTTGCCAGTTGTAGTTTATCTCCACCACTCTCACCGTAAAGAAGTTCTTGTGCACATTTGTGCAGAACTTCCTATGCTGCAGTTTCCAGCCGTTTCCCCTTGTCCTGTCTCCACTCACCACTGAAAAGAGTCCGGCCTCGCCATTCTGCCCCCCACACCTTAGATATTTATAGACCTGGATCAGGTCCCCTCTCAGTCTTCTTTTCTCAAGGCTGAACAGACCCAGTTCACTCAGCCTTTCTTCATAGGAGGGATGCTCCAGGCCCTTCACCATCTTTGTGGCCCTCCGCTGGACTCTTTCCAAGAGATCCCTGTCTGTTTTGTACTGGGGAGCCCAGAACTGGACGCAGTGCTCCAGATGAGGCCTCACCAGGGCAGAGTAGAGGGTGAAGATCACCTCCCTCGACCTGCTGACCACTTTCTTTTTAATGCACCCCAGAATGCCATTGGCCTTTTTGGCCACGAGGGCACACTGCTGGCTCATGGCCAACCTGTCATCCTCTAGGATGCCCAGGTCACTCTCTTCAGAGCTCCTCTCCAGCAGCTCATCCCCTAGCCTGTATTGGTGCATGCAATTATTCCTCCCGAAGTGTAAGACTCTACACTTGCTTTTGTTGAACCTCATACGGTTTCTTACTGCCCAGCTCTCAGCCTGTCCAGGTCTTGCTGAATGGCAGCACAGCCTCCAGGTGTGTCAGCCAATCCTCCCAGCCTTGTATCACCAGCAAATTTGCTGAGGGTGGCCACTATCCCCTCATCAAGGTCATTGATGAAGATGTTGAACAAGACCGGACCAGCACAGACCCCTGAGAGACTGGTTTTTACTTTAAATCCACTGGTTACAGGTCTCCAGCCAGACTCTGCACCACCAATGACGACCCTCTGTGCTCTGCCAGTCAGCCAGTTCTCAACCCACCTCACTGACCACTCGTCCATCCCACACTTCCTCAGCTTTGTTATAAGGATGTCGTGAGAGACAGTATCAAATGCCTTTCTAAAATCAAGGTAGACTACATCTACCACTCTTCCCTGGAGCCTTGTCTTCTCCAAGCTAAACAATCCCACTTCCCTTAACCTTTCCTCAAAGCACCATCTCAGTGCCCTCCTCTGGACCTGCTCCAAGTCCTTCCTGTGCTGGGGCCCCAGGCCTGGATGCAGTGCTGCAGATGGGACCTCACAAGAGCCAAGTACAGGGGGACAGTGATCCCCCTCTCCGTGCTGGCCACCCCTTCTTAATGCAGCTCAGGATATAGTTAACCTTCCAGGCTGCAAGCATAAAATGATATGTGTGCTTCTGTGCATGTTTTACGTGTGTATGTATGCTGCTACAATTCTATTTCTAAAATGATAAAAAATAAAAGTGGACTTTATAAAGAAACTGCAAAATGATTCCATCTTCTTTATTAGAAATAATCAGCAACATATGTCAATGTAATGTGTGGCAGAAATTACACAAGGGGCGAGTCTGTAATAGGCTAGTCATAAATGAAGTGCCCATTTGGTTGTTTGCTTTTTAGGGAATGGCAGAGTGCACAGATACTTTCTGTCATTTCTGTTTTCACGTTTTTTCCTGAAAGTTTTTCTGTAATACTGAGTACCTACCCTATTTAGTATTTTATTTAGGACATCTGTATGGGAACTGCTGAGTCACGGCCTGAACCTCTGATCACCTGAGGCGAGCCACGAGTCAGCCAGAGGAGCACAGGTGAAGGCAATTCCTGGACCTATTTAAGAGCTGGCTACCAGTGGGGAGGGATCTCTTCTGGAGACCTGCTCTGCTGGTGTTTTGTGAGTGAGCCCAGGATAGGGGTAAACCTTCTATTTGTTCTCTTTTGTTATCGTTGTCTGCTTTGCCTCTCTTGTTTATTTTTGTGATTATAACATCCTAATATTCTTTGATTATACAGACATCATAGACATCGACATTGCAAATGCTTCTACTTAGTGTATATAACAAATATTGTTTACAAGAAAGATTTTTCTTGTGATGTCTTGTAAGTAGCTCAGCAGGTAAATGAATGATATGCTGCCACTGTTTACTGTCTTACACTCTATATAAGCTGGCAAATATTTCTATGTTGCTGCATGTTTTTCAACAACTCGTTTGTCTCTAGCACTCACGCTTCTTTTGTTTGAAACGAAAATTCATCAGTATTTTTAGGGTGTTGGTGTTGGCATGTAAAAATACAATTCTGGTGGCAATTTAGAAAATATAAATTTAAGTGTTGTCCTCTACAAAAACTCATGTAGTTCTCTTCCAATCAATCTTTTTCCTCTGTGTATGCATGTATATGTATCATGTGCTTTTTTTTTTTCCTTTAGGTGCCCAGGTGGTTTGAGAAACTCCACAGTTTGGAAAGGCAAAAGACTCCAAAGGCAAGTACCCTCAAGTATTCCTTGTCCTTTCTAGGTTGAGCAGTTTTAAGTACTCTGATAATACTTTTGTTGTGAAGACATGACAGTGAATTTATTTTAACTAGCTGTTCAGCTGAACAGATGGGTAAACACTACTGAATGCAACCAAGACTTCTGAAACTGTATGCTATTTTATCTTTGTACATATCATACTGTTGAAACATTCACACACTCAGACTGCCTCATATGTATCTCAACAACTTTCTCAGGTGTATGTAACAACCCTTTGATTTTTACCATGGATGTTTGTATAACCCCAACACTTCAAATTGGAAAACAGCAGATTCAGAAATGCATCCTGAGGTGAGTCAGTGATAACTGTATTGAATATGTATCATAGTTTTTCTTTTATTTCAAAGGACATTACAGTCTTGTTTTCCAAAGATAGCTAGTTTAAAGGAAAAACAAAATTGAAAATCATGTGAGCTGGCTGCTTAAGGTTGAAGTAGTTACCTATTGATAATTAAAGACAATAAGCCTCAACCAGCAAGGAAGATTGGTAAATCCTCACTGAAAGTATTATGACTTCTCATTAATTTATAGGCTGAGTTTGATTCTCTGTAATCTAAATTTAGTGTTAAAATGCTTTGTGTAGAATCCTTAAATCTAAGCCTTGCCTGCTGAAATATCATTTCAAATGTCACCTGTTATAAACTTCCAGTAATTCTATTTATTTTAAAAGTGTTCAATGCTATTGATTTTTGTTAGCCTTTCTGAAGAGTTAAGACGTGGATTTGTTAGAGGGCAATTTTACATTCATCTTTCTAAATAAATATTGTTCAATTTCTGTTTAGAAAAATAACATACTCCATTACAGCAAGAAATCCTCTAAAAAGCTCATTACAGGAATTGTGATTTTCAGGAAGAGAATCAGAAATACGCTTATTCAAGATGACAGTCTGGGGAAGGGAAGGCTGAGTGTGGACCCTATTACTCTCTTCAAATACCTGAAAGGTGATGCCATGGTTTATGATTTTTGTTATCAATATTCCCCATCATAACATCACTTAAAACGTGGAATTAAAGAGTTAATACTCCAGTTCAGTGGACTGACAACTTTCCAGATATCTTCCTAGTCTTCCTCTTTCGGGCCAGTGGTCCTGCAGGTCTGCTGTTCCTCATCAGGGACACAAATTGATCTAGATAACTCCGTGACAGCTGATTGCAGCGAGAGCAGGGTTGGTCTCTTCTCACTGGTGACAGGATGACAGGAAATGGCCTTAAATTGCACCAGGGTAAGTTTAGGTTGGATATCAGGAAAGTCTTCTTTACAGAAAAGGTTGTTAAGCACTGGAACGGGCTCCGCAGGGAGGTGGTTGAGTCACCATCCCTGGAAGTGGTTAAAAACCTTTTGGATGTGGTGCCCCAGGGACACGATTTAGTTAGGGTAATATGATCACGATGTGGTTGGACTTGATGAACTTCAAGGTCTTTTCCAACCTGATTAATTCTATGATTCGTCATCTTTACTACAGAAGTAGTAGAGAAGGTAATTTGTCTAAGACTGAATTCCTAGTATTTTAACTTATTGTCCATGTAACATAAGCAACCCAGAGGCAGATTGCTATGATATAAACATTGCAGTGGAGTATCTACATTAAAGAAAGAAACTGGTTTCTGCTGGAAGCATATTTTCCCAAGAAAACACTCCCTTTGGGTCAAGTACTGTCACAGTTATGAGCAATAGTTCCATTTACACCAAATTAATTCTCAACTTTTTTTTTTAGAGTTGCAATGAAATGCAAGAGGCCTTGAACTGGATCAAAATTATGATGCCTAATATAATTGATTTGCAACCATTCTACTCCTGCAGGTTTCAGAATACAAACTATGTTGCTATTCAACCACTGTTGAGAGAATACTCATTAAAAGTGAAAAGCAGGCCAAGAACTTCAATGAACACTTTCTATTGTTTTAGTAGGTAAGTCAATCAGCTATAAAGCGTACAGAGCAAAATTCTTGCTGTTTGTATAGCCTTAAGCTGTTCACCTATCCCATTAATAGCATGCAGTACGTAATTTGGCAGCCACTTTACCTCCACTGCTGCTAGTGCCTCACAAAGGACTGCAACTTTGATATTTCTTTTGTGAGAGGCAGAAATATAAGCACAAAACCTTATAGATGACAGTAAGGGATTACTAGGTTATGATGAAGGAGAAAACAGTGTTTAAATCTCAAAGGAAGGCTCTGAGTGCCAGTGTTATGCACAACCAGCATTCCTTTCTCGTGGCAATGCTGATTAGGAAAGAATTTGTGGTGTAATTGGTGAGGCAAGAGGGCTTCAGGGTAGAAACAGTTTTGCCATCTTGTCGAGTAACAAGAGAATAGGATCTAGAATAATACTTTAGCCTCTCCAGACAGTGAAAACCTGGTCATATGCCAAAGTGTCTTAAAAGTTTATACAGATGCTAACTTCTTAATTAAAATTGCTAGCTAATGCCTATACTGATGCAATGTTTGCTTTTGTCACCGGAGTTTTCAAGAAACACTGGTAACTTTGCCTTGCATGCAAGCCTAGAATTGTTTTGGCTTTTTGACAGTCCTAGCTTTTCAGAAGACAGCCAGAGCAGGACAGCAGTCATTCGTGAAACCCTGTCTAATATGTGTTTTGCACATAGGATGGAAAAGAAATAGGCTGCAGGCTGAAATCAGAGGGCAGAGTCACATGCTTTAAGGCAGAGTAGGAAGTTAAATGCACGCATGGTTCATAATTTTCCATTGGCTTGCTCTCGATTGCTTTCTCCTCACGAGCTGGATGACTAGGATCGTTCTCAGCAGGTGGTTAATTTCCTTGCATGTCGTCTATAGGTGGATTTTGTGTCTACGCCTAGGGGGCAAAGGGGGGGGTCTTTGTGTTCTCTAGGTAGGAGTAACTGACACTCTTGCATTCATAGCAATGCTTCAGAAGCACAGTTCTGCCTGAGGAAAGAGGGGCTTTTCGAAGAACTAACATGAGGAGGATAGCAAAATAAATGCAGGGCAATCATTTTAATTACATGTGATGGTGCACATGCCTTTCAAAGACTTCTGGATAACACCAGTGCTATCAGTCTACTCCTTCCAGTAACTTATCTTTAAATTCCAGTAATAGAAAGTGAGGCAGATACTACAGCTTCTCAAAAAAAAATTTATGAGCTGCTAATGTTTCATGCTCTGCATACTGTGTGACCACACAGGTGTTTTGTGAAGAACCCTTGGGGAACGTCTGCACTGATATAGAAAGGATGAAGTTTTCATTTCATGAATCACTAGATTGGCAGTGATCCATTACAGCTTGTCACAGATGTCATGGAGCAAAACCAAAGCACTGCCCTGAATTTTATACCCCTGTGACTGGAAAATTTGAACCCAAGGAATTTGGAAGTTGGATGACTCCAGCTGTAATCATCCACAGCGATCTTATTAGCTATTACTGTCATTAGCATTTCAGACACTTTTTCTTAAATGACTTTGAAACTGGTTCTAGAGATTAACCCTTTAAGATTTTCCCAATGTTAACTACTCTCTCCTGTCAGAGAGGAAGTATAATAGTTCTGAGTATCATTTATGGACTAAATGCAATATCAGGTTGCTTCACTGAAGGATTTGTGTATTAATCCCTGTGCAGTGATAAAGTAGCCCTCAGATATACACTGTATACCAGATACTAAAGAGCTTGGTATTACTTTATTAGTGATAGTGTTAGCCAAGGGACGCATCTCTGCCTCTCATCTGGCTCAAGCCAGAATTCCATGAATGTTCAGTAGATACTAATGGTGAAAACTGAGTTAGCCAAGATAATTACTCCTTCTTACTCTTCCTGCCTCAGAACAGTAAAAGACTAAAGAAACATCTTTATGAAACTAAGAAAACAGCATTCTTCAAGAATGTAGAATACTGATGTGGATAAAGGAGACTTTTTTCTATATTGGCAATCATTCTCTTTTCTGAGAGACTCATCGGTGGAAGAAATAGTTCCACAAATTCTGAGGTAACTATAATTGACTTTCTTCCACTATTATATGTGTGGCTGTTGCAAGTTTTTAGTAGGTATTCTCTTATTCTCTTCCTGAAGCTGTTGTCAGTCTCACATGAGTAACTTGGAATACTTCCCTGAAATTAAGGATAATGCTTTTGTAATCTATTTGCATAGCGTAAGGACAGGGGGCAGCAGATGTAGTTGCTCTAAAAAACTTTTGGAAGGAAAGCAGTGGTCACAGTTCAATAATAAAGAAGGAATCCCCTTTCCAAGAATC